TCTAATACTCACTATGTCCAATAATATTTGTCCACTATTGACTTGACACACCTCTTAAGAAACTATAAATAGAAGGGTGATTTTACTATATCACCCTTTGAATTTATAAATGCGATGTCTTGAAAAATGTAATAGAGAAATTACTATAATTATTGATAATGGTAAATTAGGGACTAAGGGTGAAATTATCCATTGATTTCATAAAGTGCACAAGTATTGTTAGACATCTCAAAATAGTATAGTGGACAACTATTATTAGACGGAGGGAGTACATTTCTCAAAGCATCTATAATAAATTAGATATATTCAAAGGGTAATGTAATAACATAACTCTTTAGTATTTATTGTTTCTTAAGGCTTGTGCCAAATTAATACTCTATGTCCCTAATTACTTGTCCACTTTTTCTTTTTAGTTGTCCCTAATTACTTGCCCATTTTGACAAATCAAGAATGACAATTTTTTTTCTTATTAAACCCTCAATTAATTACTTTGAAAAAAGTAGAATTTATTGAAAATCTTAAGTTTTTAATTCATCCACTTCATAATCAATAGGAGTAAAATAGTAAACTCACTATGTCAATAATTATTTTTTTAATAGATATGTCAATTCAAAAGTGAACAAGTAATTATCGATAGAGGGAGTAGTGAACAACTATTATTGGACATAAAGGGTATATAGTACTAATACTTTATGTTTATACAAATATTCATTCATTAATCAATGACACAAAAATATATTTCAATCAAAATAAAGTAGATCAAAATGTCAGTAAAAATCAATACGATATTCGGTATTTCAATAATTATTTTTTTACCGATATCGGATTATATATCAAGTACCAAAAAAATTTGTAATATGCATCAGATGTCACAATATTATAATCCCAATATCAGAAAATCCAAATTTGACATATAATTTGATATGTACGTACCATTCACACTCTTAATAATCTAATACGTATCATCCTTTAGTTAGATTCGGACTACGCTTTTTCTAAACTTAACAAAATTACAAAAAAAGTAATCAGAAACTTTATAACTCTAGTGACAATCCCACTCCATCAGGAAGGTTATATCGGTTAAATTTTACATACTTTAAAGAGGGCACTTGGCCATGAATAAATAAATAATTTTTACTTTTTTTTGAAATATTTTGAGTTGAAGTTGAAATTGTGTTTAATCCTAAGCTTGACAGAGAATATTTAGAATTCATTTTGACCTTTTCCAAATAATTGTTTTTTAAAATAATCACCTTTTTAAGACGTTTGGTAAATTTAAGATAAATTTGGATATCAGTTCTTTAAGATAATATTTTTAAAATGTGATACACAAGCACATCAAAATCAAAGTTTAAAGTTTATAGGTTTGAGATTTAAATTCCTCTATTAACTAGATTTGAAATTATTAATTTATACATATTTAATGAATATTTAAAAATAAATATAAATTTTGGATCAAATTATTGAATTTGGACGAACTGTAACAAAAGTTCCAACTCTGTGACTAATGGAGTATTATTTTGATAAATTTTTCTGAACTAAATTAGACTACGATAGCCTAGATTTAAATGTGTGTTCCTACTTCCTAATAAAATATGTTAGTGAATTAGCTTTAAATTGATATCCTCATAAATATGACTCGTTTAGTTTGTCTCTAATTCCCTTTTCAGTATAATAAATATGTGTTAAAACTGTTGACATCGACATCCATTAATGTTACCAAAAAAAGAAAATAAAAACATGAATAATAAGAAAGTGAAATTGTTAGATTTCTAGCAATATTATCATTTTATTCACCATAATAGCAGGATGTTTGGGAGAGATTGAACGGTATGGCAACACTGCAAGAAGTCACTAAAATTCAAACTCGAGACACAATAGTTTTACAACGAGTCAAGATTTGCATTATGGGGTATCAAAATATAAACAATAAACACATGAAAAAAATCTATAAAATAAATTTTACTAGCGAAAGCAAAATATAGTTACATTTTAACTCACGAGATACATAATAATAAAAAAAGTATGTGTCATTTTAGTTGTTTAAAAATAAAAACAATGGCCGCAATAAAAAAGTATTACTACTATTATGTTTGCTAGTAGAGATGAAACACTCAAACTCATAACCTTTGGAAATTTTGACAACTCCTTAATCATTGCGCTAAACTTTCAGACTAGAACCAATATGGGTGTCAAGCGGGTATAGGGTAGCTCCACCCGGCACAAGAACCAATATGGTAAAGCTGGTAAATCGACAATTTTAGAAGCGGATTTAGAATTTGAAATTTGTGAATTTCTATAGCGATCTCAACTTAATTCTACAGTAGTAACTGGAATCACAATCAAATATTCATAAACATTTTAGTTGATTTTATAATATAAATATAGAGTTTGGACAAAAGCTACGATCCATAATCGGACCTCCACTAATGAACCAATTTACCATATATAATTGGCCAAAAGGGCATCAACCACTTCCCTTGCAAGAAAATGGAATGACTTGTCTTTTTTTTTGTGTTATTTTATACTATAGTTCTAGTTTGCTTGTAATTTGACGTACGTTGTCCTATGCATATGTAAATAGTATCTGAGTACCTGGCATTATGATTCTTGAATAGTGATGGACCACGTTTCTGTCCACTTGCCTGGATTCTACGTGTAATATTGTATTTATATGGAAAATAATAATGCAAAAGAACATGAAAAACAAAACAAATTTAAAACCCTCAATAATACACACCGCCAAAAATGCACTCATTGAGGTTCATGCAAAGATATGAAGCATGAAATCCCAAAAAAAATAAAAAAAATAATTCTCTCTGGTGTAACCAACAACTCAACGTATTAAACAAGGGAGAGTTGTATATTTGGCCGCTTATAAAAAATAATTACAATTTATATATATATATATATCATGAACATTTGTCTGGCATGTTGGATATATATCTTGATGAGATGTAATTGGCTCCTTTTGTATTGAAGATATAGTTTTTTTAATGTATAGTACATTATAACATACTATTCCATTCCGTGTAATGGGAAGAGGCGTGACTTATAAATATAAAAAATAAATGAAGTAATACAATGTATCCTCTATTCAAGGAAACACATGATGAAATTCACCCAAATCAACTCCCTCAATCATGCACATTGTTTTTTTTCTTTTTCAAAAATTTGAAATAATCATCCTACTGGAGAATATTTTCTCCGTTCAACAATAGTTATCGACTATATTAAAAATTGATATCCGACAATACTTGTCTAATTTAGAAAATTAAGAGATAATTTACCTTTTGTGTCTATTTTACCCTTGATATTAAATATTATTTTCATCTAACACATTTTTCAAAGCATTAAATTTAATAAAGTCAAAAGACGATATAATAATATTACTCCTATTATTTATTGTTTCTTAAAGAATATGCCAAATCAATAGTGAACAATTATTGTTGGACAGAGGGATTATAAAAATCTCAAGTAGGATGAATATAATTAGATTGATCAATTAATCGTGACATTTTTTGAAGTCTCACATTTCTTGCTGTTGAAATATACAGGAGTGGAGTTAAATTAATTTTAACAATTTCTAGCTTGTATAGTTGGTGTCTTTGACAATGTGCCCCTGAGTCCTAACTTTCTCAAACTTTTTTATAATAACTTCGTTTGATCGGATATTTTTTATTATTATAATAAGATATTGTTATAAGAAACATACAATATGATATAATATGAAAGATAGTTTCAGAAAAAAGCTTAGGCCATTAAAATGAAATGCTATTATAAAAAAATGATTGTTACATAGAGATCTAATGTTAACGTCCCCTATAATGGATCTAGTCATTGAACGTTGCAAGACAAAATTAGAGTTAATGTAGATTGGATTAGGAGTTTGTAAAGAGAGTTTTCTTTTTTTCGACTTATAATGTTTGTTCCTTCCTGCAATCTCTTGAATTAAAGTACTCAAAAAATAGATATTTTTCTACGTATATTTTCATTACATTCAAATAACACTAAATACAACAAGGATGGATTAACTACCCATCTGAAACAAAGAAATAACTTCCTACTACTACTACAACTGAAATGAGAAAGTGAACCCTCCTTGCTGCAAATAACTACTACACAGAAAAAAAAATAAAAAAAATCCTGATAAGTTGAAGTAATCTAATTTCTTTTTAAAATCTTTCATGTGTAAGATTGTTGGTAGAGTAAAGGGTGCTAACATCTGCAAATTTAAAAATAAATTGATTTTGTATGCAATTTCACATGGGAATACATCAGTTGTTTCAGGATAAGATTGCACGATTAAAATGAGAATATTAATGGTTTTCCATGCACATAGAAATAGAAAATGAAAAGATAAGTAAATGAGATCCCATCTGTTTTTGTCCAAATGTATTAATGACAGACATGGCCTAGCAAAAGAGTAGACTAGACCTTTCAGGACTTGGACTGACAAGGTTGTACTACTATTTAATACAAACATGTTTTACCACTCGTGTGATTCACAATATCACTTACAATTTACTAGGAGTACAAGATAAAGAGGGATTATTCAGGTGTAAACACAATTTTGAGTCATCAAAGTAACAAAAAGATGAAAGCTTTCTAGAGAGAGTAACAACACAAATAAAGAACTTATAATTTACGACATTCTTAAGAAACTACTTGCAAGTTATTTGTTGGTAACAATGTCCACGTCAGAGTAATGATCGAACAAAACACTTGCTTGGTGAAATACTGTTTGAATTGACTTTTGGCTTTTAGCTTTTGACTTGTGATTTATAAGCCAAAAGTCACAAGTTAGAAATCCTAACTTGTGACATTTGACCTTTAAAATAAGAGTTTATAAACACTTTTTAACTTTATCCAAACACTTCAAAATTACTTAGAAGTTATTTTGACTTAAAAACACCTAAAAATAAGTCAATCCAAACGAGCACTTAAGTTAAGAAATAAAGTTGCGTTTTTGCTATCAGCTATAACTTTTGGCATAATGATAACACAAGATAAAAGTTTCAATAATTCTAATCGCATTGTACACATCATAAATGTAAAGAGTTTGTCTACATATTTAGTTTTGGACTTCTGGGACAATCTTCGCCTATGACCCCAAAATCTTTTTTTTTTTTTTTTTTTTTTTGAGAACTTAAAACTGAAAGTAGAATGAAGACTACAAATTACTACAAAACAATAGCACCTAAAAGCAGATGCTATTTAAGAATCACTTATAGATTTAAACATTTGAGGTACTGATCATCATAGATACTTACATAAGAAACTATCTGTCACTGTGTACATTTATAGACTCCTTGCTGTGGTACTGCTTCATCTCTACAGAGCAGCAGAGTATGATAGGTTATTTTCATTCATCATCCTTTTTATGCACAAGTTGAACCACCTCAACAACCATGACTGTTAGCATTCATAAATGGCTCACTAGTACAAGTAGATGAGATACTGCATTTTTTTCTACTGAGACAAGTTCTGCATCTTGCACTTGTTGACAGTAAAGAGAAAGAAATCTATTAATCAAGAGGCACAAAGCGCGTTTTAGAAAGTTTGATAAGTCTTACTATCATACAGCAACATATCTAGTGTAATCTCACAAGTGATAAGTCTACATATCTAGTGTAGTGATAAGTCTTACTATCAAATTAGGATGAATTTACAACTGAATTCGTGAGTGTGATCATATAAGCTCTACATTTAAATTCTGTCAATAAAAAGTGGTTTGTTAGATAGTACTGATACCGAGTGATAAGCAATCTAAAATCTCTTCACTCATCTAAGAAAATCTTGAAGCTGATTGAATCTGATTGTTTTGGCAGGGCAGAGCTAGTAAGGGTTCAGTGGAGAGTTACACTATTTATACATGGTTTAAATTATTATTTATGTATTTATAGTAGTTGTTGAACCCCCATCGACTTCTTCGTGTGTCTACTTCTTCCTATTTGTTAAAATTATTAATAAAATTCTGGCTCCGCCATTGTGTTTTGGAATAGTAAGTCTAATCTTTTGTATCTTATCCAAGGCCCTGGATAGAGAATAGACATGTCTTGTATGTCAATTGTACTTTATACAAAGCAGTTATTTCCTTCAATGGACCCAACTAAATAAGGATAACGACCTTACTTGTGTGAGCCGTGAGGAGCTAATGGACCTGGGATATCATTTCTGTACGAATCGTGTCACAATCCAACGGACCTGTTCAAGAGAATTCAACAAAAAGCAACTTGGTGTTATTCTTCTAACAAATATCAATTCAATGAGGCAATAAATGTTCTCTTTGATAATTGGTGAACTAGATCAATACTTACAATGTTATTTTGAGGATCTCTCCAATAAAATCCTTGAATAAAAATCACAGCTATATTTGATGTTATGAGAATAAAGATACTAAGAGAATGCTTTCCAATCCACTCTAAAACGAACATCAAGCGCCTCCAACCATAAATATCCACCTAAAGTTCATAAGATTCGCAGGACTATCAACTTTTTAAATCAGAGTGAAAGCGACAAGTGGTGATTATATTAAACAAAAGAGACACGCAAGAGGGTTTGTATTTTAAAACTAACCAATAGATATAACAAACAGAATGTGATTCCAGCAGCACCTGAGGTTACCAGCATATAACTTATCGTGTACAATGATTTGTTTAATGGCATGCCTGAAAGGAAAAGAACACAAATGTCACATTTCATGGTGGCTAGAAGCATTTTTGTCTTGAATCAAATTGAAAATTTGTTAGTTACTCCAGTTGATTATGCATTGATACCTAAAAGTAAAAAAAGACGTACCTACGAAATCAAGGAATAAACCAACTGCAAGAAGTGAAAGCGAGAGGATTGACCAATTGTATAGCCGTCCTTTATGATCCTGAACAGTCATATAAATTACATCCATCAATTATATGCAGTATTGTAATAATCTGGCACTAAGGCAAATTTATTTATGCTAAAGTTGTATGCCAGTACCACGATGCAAATATACTTTTATGGAAAGATTAGACATATAGGAAAACTCTTTTCGGGAAACCACCACTTATGCAGTTCAATACATAACAATGATGAAGCCATCTAATCGGGCCCAAATCAAAATAGAAAACTGTTGGATTGCTTGAGACCTGAAGCATTCCTTCGACTTCTCCTGAAAAAAAACTTTTCCTAACACTCCCAAGACTCAGGATAGAAATAGAGGTAAATCAGTCAGCAAATGATACCCCATGGCTCACCTGAAATTGGACAAGTATGTGACCATACTGGAGGCCAATGATGGATGTAGCAGCAGCTGTTAGTGAGCTGGAAAAAGATAACCAACGGCAGAAGTTGTTAAACAACAAACTAGAGAATAAGTGAAATTAGAAACATGACATGACTAAATTATAAGTACATTTCATAAGAGAATTTGAGGTGAAGAATAATGAGATATTTGTTACCTTACAATGCCTTCAGGATCAAAAGCGGCATGACACCAAGAAGGCATACTCTCAGAAACTGTCTCTCTGTTGGATCCATTGCATTCCTGTGAAAGATTAATATTGGTCATGAAGGGGCTAACTGTGAGGTCTGGACATAAGCGTGTCAGCAGTGCAGTTCAGTATAAGACTACCTTCATATTTCTATATACAGGTTTTGTGTAGAGGTGATCTATTCCAAGAATATAGCGATCAACCATAGCAGCAGAATTACATGCAGGTCCAAGGTCTCCTCTAACAGAACATTTTACCTGCAAGTAGCAACAAAATTTACCATCTTATATTACAAATATAAGATAATTGATAGAAAAAGTTCTCCAACTCGACCAATTAGGAATAGAACTGATTGTACACAGCGGTAACAAGGGACCAGTCAATTTTAAGGTTCTATTGGATTAAAGTGATAATAAGCTTCTATAGGATAAGAATTGATCACAAAAGTTCTTGACTTTGAGCAAGCGTTTACATGCTAAATCCAAGGTAGAAAAATTAGTACTGATATCACTCAAAGCAGTAATGACTCATCACATTCATCTTTAAGCTTCTGTAGAGTTCTTAATGTGTTACTTGGAGCCACTCACATAGTCACATTGTTTTACTTTTTAGAATATAGTTCAGCTTAAGGGGAATAGAAAGCAAACAGCTGCTAACCTCATAAATGGTGCTTCCAGTTGACTGCGACACACTGAATTGCCAGTCAGGGACATACAGGCCATATAACAACCCACAATGTATAGCAGACAATAGGAACATGATACACCTACAAATGAAGTAAAATGTTGTTACGTAAAAGTAGAGACAAAGACAACCATAGAGGACAAGAAGCAACACTATACAAAAGGAAGATTGATAATAAGACTGCCAATAACATTGCAGTTGGACTCACTAGTTTTCCAATAAAAACACACAAATTTCTCCTGTTTTGCCTATTTAACCACCTGCTAATAACCAATGAGGCCTAGTCCAAGTAAGTTAGGTTGAGACCTTGTACCAACATGTCATGGATTTGACTTCCACCAGCGACAAGCTAGATTTTTATCTAATTTAAAGGGGATTAATGCCTACTTACGAGAAGTTGGTTTTTTCATAATTGTTAAATGAAGTTCACAGTATGCATTACAAGACACACTTATGGTTTCACTAAGGAAAAGAATCTGGCACGCGAGTAATACCTTCATGATGCAGAAACAGAAGATATATGTAGAACTCCTAACAATTGCACAATCAAAACAAAAAATCTACCTGAAAATCAGGGATGTAGTTGTCTTACCATTGGCAAATATAATTTCTGAAAAGGGTAACTCTTTTCATCTCTTGAGTTGGAAGCCATATCTCACACAAAGCTGCTACAATATATCCAACAGCTATTCTCTGCATAAATGAAAAGAAATGTATACTATTCTGAACAAGTAATAGAAATGAACAGGTTACATGCATAAGTTCTTCATCTGCACCTATCTTTTGACCTAGTGACTAGCAATCCTTCTAACAAGAAAATGGAAACTTATAATAATCAGGGAAACCAGATTAAGATGCTACTCTTGAAGAATCAGCATCTAGCACAAAAATAGCTAAATAGGAAGTCAATCCAAAGCACTTCACTGAAACTAAAAAGAACAACAAGAGAAATACCTTACAGGCTAAAGCAGAGGAATAAGGGGGCACAAGTGAAAGCAGCCTTTAGAAGTCTAACTAAGAAAGACTTACGAACCACTTAGGAAGGATAAGAAACATAGCTACAAAGCAAAAGAAGTCATTGGAGGCAATGCGACGACACTCATCTCAACTGGCAATGCGACTGCAACTGAAACGACACTTATCTTGTAGCTAATCTAGTCATCTCATACCACGGTAGCAAAAAAGCAAAAAAAGAATATCAGAGTTACCTGCAAAATTCCCATCCATCGTATTCTTTCAATATCTACACCATAGGTTAAACCAGTTATTCCATGCAAGTAACCCCCTGAAATGAAACAAATGTGGAATCACAATTGTCCAACAACATCAAGTTTGGATATCTCATACAAGAAAATGATATACTACGAACAAAATCATAAGACAACAATAGTGTTGGAATCTCGTAAATACTCTAGGATCTTGTAAATATAGTATAGCTTGATTTACTCCTGAAATTATGTATTTTGATTCTCTTTTCTGTTTCTTAGAATATGAACACTTAGATATTTCAACCCCAATGGCTTGAAGGAATAATTAAGCTGAGGTTCTCTCAATTCTCTTTTCATTTGTCTTACTTTCGAATGATATCAGAGCCAGTGTAAAACTTAATCTTCTGTGCAACTACCAGCGGAGAAGAAACTCCTGTCACTCTTCGGCAAACCAACCCCAGAAAACCCATTATCATCAAACTATTCACGTGTTGTCACACGCCGGGAAGAAGTTTGATTTTCCGGCGAGATTAACCCACGTGCCGGCGCATGCGAGGGATTCCAGCTACTTTCTGGTGACATTCATTCTTCTGTGTAACTCGCCTCCTCAACTCGACATCACCCATCCAAGTTCCATTGCTTTCTAATAACTTTCCAACTAGGCAGTCCACTTCTCCGGCGAGTACTGATACATGATTTACATAGAGGGGAGATAAGGGATAGAATTCCTTAGGGATGACATGCAAGCATTTCAGTTGGTCATGTTAGTTAGGAGTTTTTGAATACACTGAGGGCGGGAAAATTTGTTAGTGGCAGTTGGTCTCAGCCAAGTTAGATCTGATCGAAGTACAGCTATCTGGAGAAGTAATCCTCTATGGATTGATCATGAATACATTTATATTTGTCTCAATTGCAATCCTCTACTTCTATATTTCTCTTCCCTCATTTTGCTCAATTACATTTCACTCGAATTCCTCTGTAGGTTTACTGTTTTAGCTTAGAATTCTCGAGCTTCCAGTTGATCCTGCAATTCTGTTAACAGTGGTATCAGAGCTATTGAATCCTTGGCATCAATAGCGAAGGGAACTACTAAGGCAATTGGAGAACCAACCAGTGGAACCCCTATTTCAGCGGTAGGGGAATTGCATGAGATGATGCAGAATATGATAGAAGAAATTGGAGATTTAGCAGGTAAAGTTTCATCTCTGAAAAAATTGGATCAAACAGTACTTGAATTGAAGAATCAATTAGCAGCTTCTGGGGAGACTCGAAGGAATAAAATCCCATCAGAACAGGAGTGAGGTCCTTCCCGGAATGGCCATTAAGAAGAAAGAGTACAAAGGGAGAGAGAAAGGAGTCCTAACAGTTACAATTCTCACCACTAAAATTTCACTCGATGGTCAAGAATGGAGTTCTTGCAATTTAATGGAGAAGATCTGACGTCATGGTTGTTCAAGATCGAAGAATAGGAATCTCATTGAGACGCTCATTCCCTATTCATACAATATCATAATTTGTTGCGTTTTTCAGGGATGCAATTCTCATATTCTATTATCTTATTAATTGTATGCCATCCTCAACTATCCAGAATATCATGTCTTCTTTCTCCTCCACCTCGTGTCTCTGAGAGCATGTGGTTTGTTCACAACCTTACCCCAAAAACAATAAGTTAGTTCCTTGTGACCTTAAATGTGAATTTCTAGGTTACTAGAGGGCACAAAGGGGATATCAATGCTATTCACCTGATCTTCAGCAGTTCATCAATGCCTTATGTAGTTATGTTTGTTAACGTTAATTTCTTTGAAACCCAGCCATTCTTCACAAATCCAGGTGATCGCTTAGACATTTCTGAGGTTGTTAGTAGTTCTGTCTTTTGGAGATTCAATCACTATCTTCCCCTTCATCATCACCTATAACTCCAATTCCCTTACCTATAGCTCCAGTTCTATCACCTAAAACTCCAGTTCAACTTCCAACCTTCTACAACTCCACCACTCTTGATTTGTCATCGCCTTCAACGTCCAACATCACATACAAATGATTCACATCTTATACTGAATCCTTTGCCTACTAGGGACTTGTTTTTCCCTAGTCCACTGATTGCATTCCAAAAGGCTATCCAATCCACTCGTAATCCCAATCCCCATTATACTTGTTTGAGCTATCATTGTTTATTATCACTTCATTACGCCTTTGTGTGATCTTTGTCCTCTATTTCTATCCCTAAGTCCACAGGTGAAGCGCTATGTCATCCCGAATGGCGATAGGCTATGATCGAAGAGATGTATTCTTGACATGCTAGTGGTACTTGGAAGCTTATTCCTCTACCTCTAGATAAATCTATTGTTGGTTGTCGGTGGTTGTATGCAGTCAAATTGGGCGACTTAAAGCTTGCCTTGTTGTCAAAAGTTATAATTATTTGGACTTGATTATAGTGACACTTCCTCTCTGGTGGTTAAAATAGAATCTTCTGTCTTCGTATGCCCATGATTGTTGTTAGTCATTGGCCTCTTTATCAGCTAGACATTAAGAACACTTTTATCCATCATGATATTGCTTAGGAGGAGTCTAGTGGTCTTGTATGCCAGTTGTGTCGGTCCTATATGGTTTGAAATAGTCGCCTTGAGCAAAGTTTAGTAAGTTCAGCATGGTATTCAGGATTTGGTATGACTCGCAGTGAGGCTGATCATTTTGTATTCTATCGACATACTTCTCATAATTAGTGCTTGTATATGGTCGTTTATGTTGATGGTATAGTCATCATGGTCATGATGACAATGGTATAATTAAATTGAATCAACATCTCTTTCAACATTTCCAGAAGGAACATTGTGGTATTCTCTGGGCATTGAGGTAGCGCAATCCAAATTAGGAATTGTCATCTCATAGTGTAAGTATGCTCTAGACGTTCATAAGGAGACAAGTACGACAGGCTGTAGACCCATTGACACTCCTATCGACTCGTTTAATAGACAAATATGACAAGTTATAGACCCATACACACTCTTATCGACCTGAATATAAAATTTCTACCACGAAAGAGAAGCCCTTTAGTAATCCTGAAAGGTATTGGTAGCTAATCAGTAAGTTGAACTATCTCACAGTTACTTGACCTAACATTGCTTTTCCTCCGAGTGTTGTAGATCAGTTTATGGAATCTCCATGTGATAGTCACTGGGATGCAATTATTCGTACTGTTCAATGCATAAAGTCATAGCAAAAAATTGCTTTATGAGGATTGAGGTCATGAGAAGATTGTTGGATACACAAATGCCGAGGGCATGATCACCTTTTCATAGGCGATGTTTAGATATTGTGTTTTGGTAGGAGGTGATATGGTGGAATCTTAGAAAAGTAAGAACAAATGTGATTGCTCGATCTAAGTGCAGAAGCTGAATACCGAGGCACCGAGCAATGGTTATGGCAACTTGCAAACTAATTGGATTAAGCAGTTAGTCAAAGAATTGAAGTTTGGAGAAATTAGTCAGATGGATCTTGTGTGCAATAACCAAGCTACTCTTCGTATTGCATCAAGTCTGATGTTTCATGAGAGAACTAAACACGTTGAGATCAATTGTCACTTCAACAAGGACAACAAGTGAAATCCCACAAGATGGGTAAGGGAAGGTAGAGTGTATGCAAATCTTACTTCTTCCTCCACGGGTTGTTTCCAAAAGACCCTCGGTTTTAAAGAAAAAACAACTCTTGGGAGACATTATCACAAAATTTGTGAGTCAAATGTTCAACTTATAGATATTTTCACCAAGTCCCTTGTATTAGCTACATTTGTAACAAGCTTGGTACATTGATTTATATGAACCAACTTGAGGGGGAGTGTTAGAATCTCGTAGATATTCTACAGTATTTCTAGGATCCTGTAAATGTTGTACATCTTGATTTACTCATGTACTTGTGTAATTTGATTCTCTTTTCCTTTCTTAGAGTATGTACACTTAGTTATTTAACTCCAATGGCTCGAGGGAATAATCAGTTTCTCTCAATTCTCGTTTCGTTTGTCTTACTTCCTAATAAGAAGAAAAGGTCATCAAGAGCAAAGCAGGAAAGACAAAGCATAGAATTCAACAATTTGTTTTTTTTTTTTTTTTTTTTTTGAGATAATAGAATTCAACAATTTGTATCCTAGCTAAAATACATATGTTAGAAGATGTATTGTATTATAGTTACTTGGTACTGTAAAATCTTTAATTCTGACTATTTTCTGCTGATGCGTTTCCTCTCAGGAATTAAACTACAGTACCTTCACGCTGAACATTGTCTTCTCGTTGAGCTTAACCTACCTGTAAATTTACATTCTTGTTAATTAAACATCTCTCTTTCTTCATGTTGTTTGCTGTCCATTGTGGAAGGCCTTTAAACTACTTGGTTTATTTAACTAACTGAGGCTAGCCGAGATCGAGAGCTTTCTTTACATGCAGCTCCAAGATTGTACAGAAGCTGATGGACCAAGGCTTAAAATGCCAGACAGAGAAGAGCTAGCTGGTCTTTTAAATGTAGCAAGTTTTCAAGAAGAAACACGTTCCATCATTGAACTTCCTTTTATTTGTAAGAACTGGAGCAACATCCTATCTAGTATACCACAAAATTAAAACAGACTCGTTACATCCTATCTAGTATACCACAAAATTAAAACAGACTCGTTCGTTGCAATGTATGGGGTATAGAAGATCCATTTCAAAAGACATATACACAGGCTTATAGTTGCAGAATATTGTTAAGGGTTGACATCAGTAGTGAGCCGTAATATTGATTTGAGAAATGCCAGCATACAAAATTACCTTGAAGGAAAATGCCAAGGATAAAAAGTTTCAAGGTCCTAATCACAAATTTCAAGGTTGCCCCAGTTCTGTCTAAAACTATCTGCAGTTTTGAAAGAGGAAAAGGTTCAGAAAGTGCTAAGAGCAACACAACCACCTGGTGACAGGCATGATCTTACTAAGATGATTTAATTATAAATCGACAGCACATAGTATAGATATCATGATGCAAGTCTGAGCACTATGCATCATAAGCCTATATCTTTCATAATGATTGGGTTTATGTCCATGATTTTATCTGAAGATCAAAGAATAGATACCTTATTTACAATTGCCAGGGAAACTCCAACAACAAAGAGGAAGAAAGGCATTACAAAGTCTGCCAAGCGGACACCATTCCACGGGGAGTGAGCAATGCTGGGAAAAACAGAACCAGCGTAATCCACAAGCAGCATAAGCTGAAAGCAGCAAGCAAATTAAAATCATAAGCTTAAAATCGGTGAAATTCCTACAAGTGAGAAGGAAAAGAGAAGAACTCTATCCTAATATAAATGCATACAAGGAGAGTTATCAGAATCACCGTTAAAGAAACAAAGGAATCAATCCAAACCTTAAAGCAGGGAGTTAAGTAATTAAAGAAGCATCTTTACAATGGAGTTTGAGAATTGTTATCTACAGGGACAGATGCAAGTAAGTGTAGTTATTAGCATGAATAGAACAATCTAAAGGTTTCTGAAACTTAAAAGAGGTGACAAATGACAACATCTTCTTTGTGAATGTGGTTTCGAGGTCTGATTTTAAAGATAGCTTTGAGATAGATACTTTGTTGACTCTTTTCTCTAGAACCAGGGGAGCATGAGATACAAAAGGGGATCAAAATGTCCCATCAACAAAGTGATAGCTTTCTGCTAAATTTCTCTACTATTTTCTTCTCTCCATTTTGGCCTATGAGTTCATCTCATACTAACAAGTTTAGGGAAAAAGAAAACAAAAAATCATTTTTCTGTATTCCGTAGTTTTCTGGACAGGTTAAAAAGCAGAAAAAGACACAGAGAGAACTCGTGGACTAAACCAACTCCAGGTTCCGATATTCCCGAGAGTAGGAAAAATCCTTCAATCTTCATAGCATGCATACGAAAATAAAAAATAAAAAATCATGCGTATGGAGTTTTCAAGATCAATACATTCAAAGGAAACAAAAGAATCAACATCTACAGCTGATCGACAGCTTCGTCAAAAATTCAAATTGCAAAATTCTTTTTAAAAGCTGGCTATTCGCGGAATCTTAATCTGTCAACTTATCAGTAAACAAAATCGTAAAAATTAAATTTGCTTACAAAAACGCAGAGGCCTCGAAACACATCGAGAGATATAACACGAGAAGAAGGTGTAGCAGTTTTCCTTTGAGTTGCTTCACTTTCACGCTCAGCAAGCACCACTTCCTCGCCGTTGTTGCTCCCTAATAACGGCTCATTTTCTGCCATTTCTGAGCTCCCAACTCAACTCTCTGTAAAGCAGTATGAGACAAGTATATATATATATATATATTGAAGATGGAGAAAAAGAGAAGTTTATGCTTTGTTTGCGACAAGGACCAAGTATGAGGGTGGGGCCAATTAGTTGACCAACACTATTCATTTAACTTCCATTTCTGTCTCACACTATACAAATATATTTATTTTTCAATTTTTTTCAACTTGGGTAAATCATAACCTTTGTTATACTCTCAGACCTTTCGATAAATATTTTGTGATAACCTGTATATTTGAGCAATATCAACTACATAGGAGATGCAACTTTTATTAAACAAGCCTCATGAGATGAGCTCATGATTGCATAAAGGTTGGAATCAATGGTACGCCTCTCCTTCAATATCATTCAATAATAAATGGTAGCAACAATATATTTTTCTCACTTTCCTTTTCTTCACACTTTCGTCTATTGCTTGCGTCCGAACTAAACAAGTTGATAACATTTCTCTTTAAGTAAAACATTCACCAAACAGTCAATAGTGAAGAAATTATAGTCTTGTTTGTTTGTTGTTGTGTCAAATGGACGGATTGAGCTTAAATGTAAAAGGTTAAAATGAATCGAATTAAAAATTATGTTGAATCATGACGTATTCAAATTTATTTTGGACTAAACTGGACTAAAAAATGAATTGAATCATGACCCACTCATTTTGACCTACTTAATCTAAACAATATTGACATACTTATGTAATTTATAAAAAGAAAAGAGATCAGATTCGCTAAAAGAAATCCAAAAAATTATAGCCCTAAAACTCGAATTGAAATTCAAGACTTAAGACTCGGGCCAAGAGAGACGATCAGACCTAAAAATCGAGACACAAGACCCAACCTTGACATGAAATTCGAAACCAACACCAATCCCGATTTGAAACTCGAGATCCGAACATGACCCGAACCAAGACTTGATCCCGACCCGAGATCCATCCAGACCCCGACCCGGGATATGAGACTCGACCTTGACCTTAACTTGGAACCCGAGACCCAAAAATCCAACCCCGATTTGAAACTTGAGATTTGATTTCAACCTTGACCTGGGACCCAAGACTCGATCCGATCCGAGATCTGATCCTACTGGATATGATGAAAAATATTTGGGCAATATTTGTGATTTTATGAAGACAATCATTTTAAAATGGGTAATGTTTGAATGAGTTAAATTTACATAGTTCCAAATTATCTTAAGCTCAATTCATAAAAAAATCTGGATAAGTTGGGCGAGTTCTTTGTTTTTGGACTCAATTTAACATCCTAGTGAGTTGGAAATATTTTTTTCTTTTCTTTTTGTTAAACATTCACTACAAAATTTCCATATTTCTCATAAAACAAAAGTTTTCTCAAAAGGGAAAACAAAACATGTTATAACTTTTTTGTTGTTCTTGATTTTATTATGTTACTTGGTACCGTACCAGCTACCTTCAACCATCAACTTTTACAAGCTGAACGTAGTAGGGAAAAACAGAGACATAGGGTGTGTTTGGTATGAAAGGAAAACATTTTTCGAAAAATATTTTCCAATTTTTTCATGTTTGGTTGGGTAAAATGTTTTGGAAAGTGTTTTCCAAATCAACTCATTTTCCTCAAATTTAAGAAAAATAACTTCCCTTCCAAAATTAAGAAAAATATTTTCCAATTTTTTCATGTTTGGTTGGGTAAAATGTTTTGGAAAGTGTTTTCCAAATCAACTCATTTTCCTCAAATTTAAGAAAAATAACTTCCCTTCCAAAATTAAGAAAAATATTTTCCAAAACTTTCCTCCCAACTTCAAATTACAATTTTTTTTTGAAAAAAATCAATTTATTATGTTTAAAAAATAAATTTAACGCTTATTTAAAAAAAATATTTTTCACCTTCAATTTTTTTATTTTTTTACCCCACCCTCCCCCAAAAAAAAAATTAAGTTTATTTCTTAAAAATATTTTCAATTACAATTCAGAAATTATTTTCTACTCTCTAGTAAAAATAAAAAATATTTTCTCAAAAATATTTTTTATACATAAATCAAACACTAAAAAAAATTTCCCCGAAAATATTTTCTACTGACCAACCAAACATGAGAAAATAAGTCAAAGATGTACTTGCTTTTCGAAAAAAACATTTTTCATGAAAAACATTTTCTTTCGTACCAAACACACCCATAATGTCATTAAAACAGCCACAAAATGAGGCTACAGATCCGACTGAAACAAACATGTCATTGAAACAATCACATAATAAGAACAATGAAACATAAGATCTAACAAATCATCCTGCCACACCCAAGTATAGTTGTACAGCCACTTAATGACCAGGGAAGAAATTCTCATGAATAAGATACGAAGCTATAACTTCACATATACAACTCTTATCTATGATTACCATTGGTTCTTCTCATAATGCACTACTACTCATTGGCCCAAGACCATCACACCGTATCGCCACCAAAGTGGACTTCTCCATCTCTTAGTCACGCTCAAACTCTCAACTGAGTGTCTAAAGCGGGCTTCAAGGTAAGAACCTACAAGCCCCCTAGACCATTATGTGCCTTCAAATACAATGCCCATGTAAGACTAGTCACAACAGGCAACATACACTCCTAGTCTAACATCCTTCTGTGACAGAAAACAGCACAACCAAACCAATGCAGTAAGAGTAAAGAAGCTAAATGCACCAGTGAGGATAAACTCAAGAAACAATATGAAATTCCAATAATAGATCAATGAAAATGGACATCAGCTACCAACATGATTTTATCTTCAATTTTTACTTAGAACACAAGAAACCATGGGCATAACATAGCAAAAGAGGTTCAACTGACAAAGCCAGAAGGTCCGAGAAACAACAGTCACACACTTACTAATATAAGTTATTCATAGCATCTACTAAAGTATATTGCAGATATATCATCACATATGGACGCTTAGCAGACTCAAATTCACTAGACTGCCCAAGCATTCTCCCTCCTGATTTCTTCCTCTTCCTCAGGAGTGAAGTCGTTCTTGATGTTTAATATTTTACGAATCTCTTCAGGGGTCTTCCCTTTGATCATGTCAGCAACTGTCTGACATGTCAGGTCAATCAGGCTATTTATGTTTAAATAGTTGGCAGCCTGTAAAGAGACAAGGCAAATGATTTAATGCAACCGCAATAGATACTTAACCTCTATACAAGCTCTCAACAACAACATATCAAGTGAAATCCCACAAAGTGGTGTCTTGGAGGGTAGAGTGCACGCAGTCCTTACCAATACCTCGGAGAGGTAGAGAGGCTGGTTCCGAAAGACCCTCTGCTCAAGCAACTCCAAGCAGTAATAAAGCAAAAAAAAAAACGAGTGGAGAAACATGGCAACGAATAACAAAGCAGTAACAATTAACCGTAACAACACCCGCAGGGTGAAATCACCTAAACACAGTAAACCTCAAATACAAGCTCTCAACAGAAAAAGGGAGGGTCCATTGTAAATCATTAAATGCTAATAGCAATAACTAAAAAGAATGGAAACCAATAAGTAAGCCCAGTAACAGCAGTATGCAAAATTTAACAGTTAAAAAACACATTCAACAATTGTAAGCCACTCTACAGATTCAAAATGCCCAGGCACGAACTCAGGAGGTGGAACAGAGAGGCATATCAGACATGTAAACAAAATGTGTTGCAAACATGTCCATATATCATTTACTTCTTAAAAAAATAGGAAATAAACTAAAGTATGACTACATGTTCTAAATGTAAAATATATGATTCACTCTAATTTTACAATTACAAGCATGTTTTAGTTTTATTTTCAATTTTAGTGTTACAGAAAATCTTCTTAGTTCTTACCCAATGTTTTAGAATGAGCCACTATAGTACTGTACTGTTGTACTAAGCAATATAAAGTTCACTTGACCATGACAAAGGGAAATGTTTTTTGCCAAATATAACAGACTAATAGAACTATAGAAGTAGCAGTTAAACACCATTTCATTACTTCAAACAACTACAACCAACTGCGATATATTGTATACTACAACAAAACGACTACACATAGAAATGTCCATGGAGCCAAATAAAGCAGAATGAATATGAAACAAATGTTCTAGTTTGGGACTGAGACATAATTGATTGATTAATTTATTCGTGACCACCCTAATAAACTCAATGTATATTACCAATGAAGCTTAAACATGAGTAAACTAGAGCAGAAACTCGGTCTATGGAAGAGGCAGCAAACAAAAGCCAACTAGATAGGCAATGGTAGTCGGAAGTAAAAGTTGAATTGACAAACTACCATAGATCCACAAAATAAACAAAAACTACCAAAAAATTACCAAACTGATCACAAAAAACTAATAATCTTCTGGTTAATTTTATATGGAGGAGTGCTTAACTGGGAATGGAGTTTAATAAAGAAAAAGAAAGTTCTAACACATAGAAAAGTACTTTTTAGTTAGAACATGTGATCTAAACATGTCATGACATTAGCATCGCCTATAAGAGCATGTCACTATTGTAAATGGAAAATTAAAGAACTTCCAAATATAGAAACGTTCATTCTTTATGGTTTAGAAATTGTTCTTTTCTTTTTCTGAAATGGCTTATTTGCTACTGCTTTGATATGCTTTTACTTGTGCCGAGGTCTTCCGGAAACAACCTCTCTAACTTTATAAGGTAGGGGTTAAGGTCCCAGACTCCACTTGTGGAATTACACATGGTATACTGTACATACTAACAAGTAAAATCGTGGGTTTAATAATTTACACAGTTCTACCAACAAGAAGTCATCTTTTTGGAATAGAATAATAAACAAAGACTATTGAGATCAATAATACACACAACTACCAACAAGGAACAAACAGAAATGAAGGAAAACAATCAAGCCAAAAAAGCACTTCATCCGTTCTCAGTTATATGGAGCTTTTTTTTATGACCGTGGTGTCTGGGCTAGCTTTTATGCACCTTGACTAATTTCATCGGATACTTGTCATCTCCCACAAGCAACAAGTACCGCATAACTTTG